TTGGCTGTGTTAATCGGTGACCTGACGAATTGTTTACCTGCTTTTGGTGTCCGTATATCATCACCATGCAACCGATAATACTAAGGTTTGTATTGACGAAGTTGAAGTTAGTCAGCTGAAGATCTGGTCATCAGGACCATGTGATCCTGCGTATGTTGAGAACGCTGGTCATTATCGAGACCGAATGCCCCCAGTGCCTCGTCGACTACCAGCTTTTGCCCTGCTACCAAATCTGGAGCTGCGGTCACCGAGCAGTCTTTGCTCATTTCCAAATTTCCTCATTCGAGCTCACATCCAGCAGCTCAAGTGCACACGAAGACTTTCAAGAACAAGACAAGCAAAGAAATGATCAGCAGCAACAAAATCACCGCCTTGTGTCTCGCCGTCGTGGCTCTGTCGAACGGCGCATACGCTGAAGAACAAGCCGCTCAGACGTTCGGACTCCTGCATGGCGGTGCAGGCTTGTACGGAGCTGGTCGAGCAGGTGCTGGCGCGGGACTCTACGGACGTGGTGTCGGTGTCGGTGTCGGTAACGGATACGGCGGGGCTGGCATTGGGGCTGGTGTTGGTGGTACTGCTGGTCTGGGCGGAACTGCCGGTCTCGGGGCCGGCGCCGGGCTCTACGGACGTGGCGCTGGTATCGGCAATGGATACGGCGGGGCTGGAGTCGGTGGCACTGCTGGCATTGGAGCTGGCGTGACTGGTACAGGAGCTGCTAATGCTGGTGTGGCTGGCACCGGAGCTGCTAATGTTGGCGTGAACGGAGCCGCGAACGGAGGAGTCAGCGGCGGTGCTAATGGTGGTGTGAGCGGCACTGCTGGTGCAAACGCAGGAGCTGGTGTCGGTGGTGGCGTGAGCGGAGCTGCTAACGGTGGAGTGGGTGGAACGGCCACTGGTGGCGCGAAGGCGAGCACCGGGGCCACGACTACAGGAGCGGGCACTGCCAACACCGGCGTCACTACCCAAAAGGGATACCGCAAGCTTCGCACGGAGTGAGCTCAAGTGAGTACTTGGCGCAGCGAGAATACAGGTCTGAGTCCGAATTGATGTCAATGGGTTTGTTTGTGTAACGTCATGAGAATATATGTTCTGTTTGCTTGTTGCTATGCACTATTGGCGTCTGATGATGCCCAGGGATGTAGTTATTAACTTCTACCTCGTACTGCAATGGTCAGAGTTGCTTCGTTGAGTTGTTAGTACAACGAATGATCTTTCTTACGCTGATTTGTCGAGTAGGGCACTTATCCCCAAACATGGTATCGTCATATAAATTGTCCAAGCCATGAAGTTGATATTTGTTGTCAACAATATCAAGAATTAATAGCTTGGCCCTGGTGCTGGCGATGGCTGTAGTCACGAAGGGTACAAGACGGCTGGTACATGTATTTTGGTGCAAGCTGAGGTTTGCATTTAACACCCGCTTTTCCGCTCAGACCATCGACTTGCTTGGCGTTGATATTAAAAGTGGTGCCAGCTAGAATCGAAAGCGGTTTGTACGGACAGCAACCGTGATCGGTCAACCAACTCAACCAA